TGTGTGCTCCATCTCCCTCCCTCCCATCTCCCTCCCTCCCACCCCTTCTTTCCTCTCTGAAATGCTGCTGTTTACTCGTATGGTGGTAGCAGAGCCCCCTCCTCCCTTCTCCATGCCCACCACTCGCCTGGCTGTGTCTGCCTCCTCCTCAGGGAAGTGTACCGAGTGACAGAGAGTCTGCAGCGGGAGAAGTCGGGCCTCCTGAAGCAGCTGGATTTCCTAAGGTGGGTCTCTCGGGACTTCTCCTTGCCTGTACTCTGGGACAACACTGATACCAAGTGTAGCAGTACTTTCTCATCAGAACTGCCAGCCCACAAATAACGACACAGGGACTTACAATCAATTATAAAAGCTCAGCCTTAGTTTAGGCTTGTTCCTAACTGGTTCTTATAACCTAAATTAACCCATATATTTTATCTGTGTTCTTCCACGAGGCTCGTGGCCTCATCTCTGTACCACCCATCCTGCTTCCTCTGCATCTGGCTGGTGACCCCCCTTCCTTCTTCCCAGAGTTCTCTCTGCTCAGAAGTCCCGCCTAGACTCTCCTGCCTAGCTATTAGTCGTTCAGCTTTTTACACCAATCACAGGAATACTTCTTCACACACTGTACAAATATCCCACAACAACCAAGAGTGCTCCCTTTTCCCCCATCACCAGCATATGGTTTGGACTGCTGAGTGCTACCCACTGGGAGACATGTGGTCATCTACTCACATGCCCACCTTCCTCTTTGTGGCAGGCTCTGCCTCATCCTTGGTGTCCTTATAGGACAGTTCATGACCCTTGGTTGAGAAGGAGTAGGTCTGGATGGACAGCTACTCTATGGCCAGCGTACAATCTCACCTCCAACGAAAACGTCAAGTCTCTCAGGTAGTGGTGAATTCTGGAATCAACCAAGAGCATCTTGGTGTTAGAGAAATGAAATCTGTGTCTGGCTGACTCTTACCTCAGCTGTGGGATGAGTGAATGCATCACACGTGGGGCTATGAAAGGAGTTTCCCAGTTCTAAAACCCACTGAAATGAGCTCAGAGTTCACTGGTCTAGAAAAAGTTTCCTACCAAGCAAAGCAAACATAGAAGTGGGAAGGGGGAAGTTTTGGGTTTGTCTAGGTTTCCTATGGGCTGTTCCTGCCATCTGCTGATGATGTCATGGGGGAAAGTGATGACAGAGGGCTTGGGGTCCCCGTTGTTAAAGTGCAAGTGGTTTTGAGTCACTTCCGGGTATGTATGAAATGTCTTGTGTCTGTTTTTGTGACAGCAGGGTGAGGCCATTGTCTGACATCTTTAGTGGTGAAGAATTCAAAAAAGCCACCTGCGTCTGAGATGCGCTCTGCTTAGAATGAGAGAAACCAGGCCCTTCCTGGTTGGAATATGAAAGAGTTCCCAAGTGGCCATGTTCTACTCCATTAGAGACAAGGTCTTTGCTCTCAGAGGACTTTAGGAAGAATACAAGATGCATAGGACACTCTTTGTTTTTTAACTTGTTTTTCTTCATTCTATTGTACTTTGAAAACGATAATGGCGGGATGGACCATAGACCAAAGAGAATGAATGTGAAGGCATGGGCATGGCTCTCTACACACGTTCATGAGTCTTTTTCTTGGAGGTCAGCCTTTGTGAGGTTCAGATGCACATGCCCAAAGGAAGCCTTTCTGTACTATCACATGGTTACTATAATTAAGCAAAGAAGAAGGAGGGGGCAGGACAGATTTCCTTATCCGGAAATCACCAAGAATTTGGGGTGGGGCGTGGTAGAGATGAAATAGGGGGACAGTGGAATGTGGGGTGGTAATGAGACAAGGACCATGGCTGGAGTGTGAGACATGACTTCCTTAACTCCTGCTCCTGTTCCTGCACAGAATGTATAAACAAAACAGAAAACAACACTGCATACTTTGCCAGGAAGGGGAGAGCTTGAAGGCCTTCTAAACCCTCATTCAAGTGGCCAGCTTACCGCTTAGCCAGCGCGAGGGTCCTTCAGACATGAGCAGCTCACTTTGCCATGGTCAGGGTTTACCTTCCATTCTTCTTCCCCAGACTTGTCCCAAAGGCCTGGCTGTCATTGAAAACAATAAGACACACCAGCAGTGTTCTCTCCAAGAGGGATGGCTTTGCAGGTCTCACATCTTGATTGTCATTCCCTGGGACAGCCTGAAATCTGACCCTACAGGGCACAGGGCACTTAACAAAGTGCTTGGTCCACAGTCACATGGAGCAGATCACTGTATTATGATAACTAGTGCTTGGCCACTGCTGAGCCCGCTCTCCCCTTCAGAAGTATGGACTGGTCCATGGCCATCTTTACAAACTGATGCAGGATCACAGACCTGAGCTGAGATGAGGGAGGGGATCCTCCCTCTTACATCAATGGAAGAACCTGTAGCTGGAGTTTTCTCCAGTCTTGCCTAGCACCACGGACCCTGCAACCACTTATAAAATAGTCACTTAGAAACTTATATTAATTAAACTGCTGGGCCATTAGCTCAGGCCTACCACTGACTAGCTCTTACACTTAACTCAGCCCATTTCTGTTAATCTATGTGTCGCCACATGTTCTGTGGCTTTACCTGCTGCCTTTACATGTTGCTCCCTGGACAGCAAGTTGGTGTCTCCTCCACTTGGCCTTCCTGTTCCCCCAATTCTCCTCTCTGCTAGTCCTGCCTATACTTCCTGCCTGGTTACTGGCCAATCAGCATTTATTTATCAATCAATCATAGCAACGTATTTTTACAGCAGACAGGACATCCCACAGCAAGAACCTTCCAGTTATTTGTGTCTAGTGCACCTCACAAACACCCCACCTCCTGTTCTGTTCTCTTACCCACGCTGAGCTTTCACTAAATCTTTAGGAACCTTCCACTTTCCACCTCTCCACTTGGTCTCCTGCTGCAGAAATAGCCAGAACGAGTTGACCGAGCTTGCTCCATGTTGCCAGCACCCAGGTCTCTAACTCTGTGGAGGTGGTGTGAGCTCCCAGTGCTCCTAGCAAAGGCTACCGCCATGTCATCCCTGTTCCCAGCTGGGGTTCTCAACTGGATCCATGCTGTCTCGATCTGTTGGCTTTCACACTGTCTGCCATTCTTGATGCTCCAGTCTGGCTTTCTCGCCTGCAGTTCCACCCAAACTGTCCTTGACCATGTCACCAATGACTTCAACTTCTTCAAAAACATCAGTCCACTCTCAGGGCTGCACCCTTTGTCACCAACAGTCTCCACAGAACTCCCGAGGGGATCCTCTCAGTGCTGGGATCAGACCATGACACCCTCTGCCAGACATCCCACCCCACTGCACACAACCAATCCATGGCTTCATGTCTTGTCTGGAGTGACTATCAAAGCTTTGACTATGGTCCAGGAGACTGTGGTTAGTCAGGTCTTACTCCACCCACTGTTCTTCGACTGCATCTCTTCAGGTGCCCTGTGTCCCTCCCTCCTGTTTCTCCCACACATGAATTTATCACAATCAAGCCTTTACCCTGCTCAACCTTCTGCCCAAATATTCTTTCCCCAGACACCTGCCCAGCTCTCCTACCCTTGCTAGGGTTTGTCAGATGCTGCCTCACCAGCCAGGGCTTCCCTGACCACCCTGATTGAAATGCTTGACACTCTCTGGTTCTCCTTTCCCCACATTCCCACTTTGGTTTCCCAGTAGTGCTCACCCCCAGCCTAACACAAGCTTCCCGAGTCCAGAACTTTGTGACTGTTCGCTTCTGCATCCTTGATGCTGAACAAAGTTTGGTAAGCAACTCATATTCCACACGTGTTCGTGGGCAGATAAACTGGGCAGAGAAGGAGCCTACTGGAAGGGGGACATGCCATCCTGCCCTCAAGTGATGGTGGCTGAGTGTTCCTCAAGGGCAGTGTGTGTCACAAGACCACTCAGTCTTATCCCCCGCCTCTGAGCTGATTTACACATGAACTCTCTTCTGTCCATAGCCACATCCCTGGGCCTTCCATATCAGGCTTTCTCCTGCACCCATCTGGCTGGCTAATGGATGCCCCTAGATCTGTCAACTGCAGAGTCCATGTTTGAATAGCTTTTCCTTTACTATCCACAGGGAAAGGAACAAACATCTCCGGGATGAACGGGACATGAGTTTTCAGGTAATTGGTTGACCAGTGCTCTCTTAGGACTGGGGCAGAGTTAGTCAAGGCCCAGGACTAATCTGATCCATGCCAGGACTGATCAAGACTGCCCTGACACTTATGGTGTGTTAGGTCCTTTCTATGTGGGCAGGATGAAAGTGTAAGATATTATTCAAGCAATAAAAAGGTAACCACACACGGATCTTCCATAGAGGAAAATGCCTTCCTCTTGGCACAATCAGACTCATATGTTTAGAAGAACCACGCATTTCTTAGATGCAAAAGTGACCGTTGTATCCGTGAGATGGCGCCGTTGAAATGTCATTATCACCTGAAGTGAGAGACTTAGTTTGTTCTTTCGTTTAAATTTTTATCTCCTGATGAAAATCTCAAGCTTTATGCTGTCAGAGAGCAAATTTACAATGCACACACAGCTGTTGACACAGTTGATCTCACATACAACGTCTTCTGTACTCTATACAGACCCTCTCCTCTCCCACACCTGAGCATGGTGCTCCATACTTTCCAGACAGTGTGACATTGTTCACAGGTCTTCACAATGGGGCACACTGAAGAGACTCCAGAGCACTGCACCTCCTTCTTCACCTCCCCTTTTAAGACAGGAGACACTGGATTCTCTGAAGGGGCAGGGCAGCTCGATAGGACTCCCTAATTGTAAGATTATCACACCATGAACTTGTGTGTCCCTGGAGAAGGCAGTGGTTACCTTTGCCCATGATCCCAACTGCTACAGAAGGAAAGGGAGTTCCTGTCCTCCTCCTCCCAGGTTGTAAGGATTTTTGAGAGAAAAAAAAAAAAGTCTCGGCGGCGGCGAGAGGGTGGTTGGTGCGTGCCTTGGCTGAGCAATAACCTCGATACGGCCAGCCTCTGCGGACTGGTGTGCCCTGAATTAGGTCCTGCCCTGCTTGTGCCATGGTCCCAAGGGTCCTTCTCGTACCACTGCTTCTTTGACATCACCAGACAGCAGCAATCATCTCAGCTGCTCACCTGTGTGAACTATCAGAGCGAGACTTAAGCCTACACATGGTTGTCTGATCATGATAACGATTATAATTGTTTTAGAAGAAATACTGATTTTTTTTAACTTCAACCAAATGCTAACCTAATCCCTTCTCCTCATTTCCATTCACCTGCCAAACTCACTTTGTTTTGAAGGAGAGGGGGTAAAGGGAAGAGCACCAGGAGGAAATCAAAGAAAATGGGATAGAGCCCAATTGATGCAGAATAAAAATTAAAGATCTGCCTGGAATCATTAGAGTCATGCCCTCGGGGGTGCTGGGGGCTCAGCAGTTCCTCCTCTCATTAGGAGTCCACTGGAAGCATGGGGTGGCTGATGAAGGCAGAACTCTCCCTGTGATCTGACTCCCCATGTCTCCTGGAGGAAGTCTGTTCCAGAGTCTTGGCAAAGGGGTTCTGAGCCCTGCTGCTCTCAGGTTCTGTGGCACAGATATCTGGGCAGCTCATCCACATCCAGCCTGCTTCCACAAAGGACTGCAGAGGTCTTAGGCTAGTGAGGGTGTGGTGGACAGAGCCCTGAGCTAACTGGCCCTCTGGGCGGTTCCCTATCTCAATACCTCATGGGCTTTGGTGGGAAAGGGAGATTAGAGCCACAAGGAAGAATGTGACCTAAAATACCAGGAGCTTTTGGACTCTGTAAATATTTTTTTTATGTAGTAAATAGCTTTGTCTTCTTTTTGATCTCTTGCAAATTACCAGTGTTCCTGTGAAGAGTCTCACACGGGAGGCCCCAGGCTCTCCACTCGGTATTCCCTCCTCTGAGTGTATTTCTGGAAAGGAGATGGAGGAATCCTAGTTGGGATTGGGGGTGGGGAGGAAAAACAGGGCAGTGGGTGACTGAAGGCGGGGGCGGGAGGGGGGAGCAGGGAGTGGAGGGAGAGCCTGCCCTGCTCTCTCATTTAGAGTCCTGTCTAGAGCCTTCCCTCATTTCTGCTCAAGCATCGAGACAGATCCACAGACATGGATCTCAGGGCATTTTGTGTTTCTGCAGAAAGATAAGGCGGCCAAGGCAAACACAGCTGCTTCCAAGGCAAGCAAGAAGCAGAGATCTGGCTCTGTGATCGGCAAATATGTGGATGGCAGGGGAATTCTCAGGAGGTAAGCCATCACCCGCCATTCCTCCTCCCTCCATTCATTCTCACGCTTTTGGGGAGCTGCCTCTGGGGCCACATTTACAGGTCTTTGAGGTGTGGCTCTGCTAGGGAGGCCTGAGGTCAGTCTCACTTACTCGCCTTGAATCATGGAGGACATGGCCCTCTCTGCTGTGACATCCGAGCTGGAGGGGGACTAGGCAGAGCAAACCTATAGGACAGATACCGCCATCTCTGAGGCCCTCCTGCCCTGCTGTGGGCCTGCGGAGAGGGGCTGATGGGAACTGCAGACCAACTCAGAAGGTGAGAAGGAAGAGGAAGGAAAGGAAGAGGGGGAAGAGAGGTGATCAGGGTGGGAGTGATGCAGGGAGTAGCTGGGCAGTGCTCCACTTCCTGGACCCACTTGGGTTTTCTGGAATATAATTATACTGACTGTGAGCTGAATTAAAATGTTGTATAGAATCACCATTAGACGAAACCCTTTAGAGACAAAATTAGGGCTTGTGATTGACAGATCATTCCAATGATTCATATTTAACTAACTCAAAGACAACATGTTTTGTTGCTGTTGGAGGGCACATGAATTGAGCTTGAAATGGGAAGGGTTGGCTTGCTGCTCATTCACACAGACAAGCCAGTCCCCTCCTCATCCTCTTTTGAGCAGGTCCTCACTCCATCCACGTGGATGGACGAGGAGAGCCTAGGGAGGCTAATCCCTCCAGTATCAAATTGAGGGAGAAGATGTGTAAACCCACTCACAGAGAAGATGTGCAAACATGGACTGAAAATATGTATAAAGAAAAAGTGACTTTGGGGTGGAAATGGGCCAATCAGGGAAACCCCTGGGTTAAATCATCATGAATTACCTCTCAATAACTCAATAATAAGCTACAGTCTGGAAGCTAAATTTCTATACTAGTATTTGTTAGCCTGTTGGTTTCTCAGAACTTGAGTGTATTTCTAGATTGATTGATTTGACGGTCATTTGTAGATTACCTACGCTGCATCTGACATTCTTTCAGGTTTTGTGATATTCCCACTCTGTCTATCCACTAGCAAATGCTCATTTAATAGCTAGGTATTGAGCAGCCACTATTTGTGACATCCAGCGTCAGTCTCTGGAGCAGAGGCTTGCAAAATAGACCCTTCCCTCCTTCATGAGCTCACAGCCAAGCGGCAGAAATAGAAAATAATCCGCTCAACATCAAAGTGTGCACTCTGAATTCCAATATCGATTTTGGCAAAAGCAGCTACTCTCTCTCCTGCTGGCAGGAAGTGTTTGGTGGCAAAACAAAGATGAGCTTAGACATGCTAAGCTGACGCCATTACGGAATGTCAACAGCACTTGAGATGTTCCCAAATAAAACACTTTTTCCAAGAAGAGCTTCATTTTAGGGCACACTTAAATGCTTGTTTCTTTTTCTGGTTGAAAACCTTTGGGAAGATATGTGTCGTGTGTGTGTGTGTGTGTGTGTGTGTGTGTGTGTGTGTGTGTGTGTGTGTGTCTGCTTACACGTGTATGTACATGTTCACATTGCATACAAAAGCAGCTAAGAATGGACAGGGATACTGTGTTCTGAACCAGATAGTTGGGTAATGGGCTCAATAGCGTACAGAGGAAGGGTGTTGGAAAGAAGCCAGCTGGCTTCTGTTTAACCTGTTTCCTAAGTAGAAAGGTGCTCAAATTGCTATAAATCTTTTACTCTCTATCCAAACCAATTCACTGCTGTTAAAAGTAAACACTGTCTTAATTTGCCCTTCAGAATCACAGCTAGCTTCAGAAAGTGATGGGTTCACTTTGATTTTCTTTTTCCTTTCTAATGGTGGCCTTAAGAAGACCAAATATGTTTACAGAGCAAGTTCCAGGACAGGCTTCAAAGCTACACAGAGAAACCTTGTCCTGAAAACAAAACAAAACAAAAAACAAAAAAACAAAACAAAAACAAAAACAAAAACAAAAGCCAGGGGCAAGGCCAATGGCGTTTCTCTTGAATTTCACTGTTCCTGAGTCCCTTGATCCAGTCCCTTCCTCCCTTTCTCCTTTGACCTTGTCACCTTGCCAGTTTGCAATTCTTTCCACGCATTCATGTGTATATGCATGTGCATGTGCGTGCATGCATATATGTTCATAGATCATGCCTGTTTCCTTTGAAGTACTCTCACTTTGAACTGTTTGCTAAGACAGAGAAGGAACTCCAGTGTTCTGGAGATGTGTGCAGACTTTGCTCTCCAAACTCTTAGAAAATACAGCCTGTGCTTCTCCTTATGGCCCGACTGCCCAGGTCCTTCTTCCTTCCACCTCCAACTGTCGTCTTTGCTCAGAGCACCCAAATGCTTCCAGAAGCAAGTGTTTACTGAAGTCTTCCAGGGCCCCTGCTCCTCCCTCTACTCCAGGAACTCAGAAAGGGACAGGAAGGAGATGGGGAGGGATGTGCTTTCTGACCCAAGCCCATTCATAAAGATCTGTCTCTGAGTCGGGGGACATCTGTCATAGGTGAGAGGAGGTTCCCCACAGCAACAGTACTCCTACACTGCTGAGGGATGCTGTGTGGACAGGTGCTATGCGAGAGTGCCCAGTGTGGGTGTGCCCTGTGTGGGTGTGCCCTGTGTGGGTGTGTGCTACGTGGTCATCCCTCCCTATGCATTCTCTTCTATATGAATAGACTGGGTAGACGGACCCTGATTTGAGGTGGGGGAACTGAGGTGTGAGGAGGTGATGTCTTTCCGTAAGGACATGCAGTTAATGGGGCCTGTGGTGGGAGCAGAGCCCAACCACCTTCTTGTCCTCCCAGGGTCCTGGAGCTCCAACCCCGCTCATTCCTCTCCTCACTTCCTCCCCATCACTGAACAACCCAGCTCATAAGAATATAGTCGTGTTGTTTGTGGCTTCGGTCCTCCTCTGGTCCAGCACCACATGAGGACAGGGCCTTTTTGAGTTGATACCTGGTGATAATCTTCATGAGCATCTTCTCTCTGGCCATGGCCGTGGCTGTGGCCGTGGCAGTGGCAGCAGGTGGCAGCCCTTATGAGGCTGTCAAAACATGAGCTGAGGGATGGGTTCCCTTCCCCAGAGCTCTCTCCAATGCTACCTGCAGGCAAGTACCTCTCCACTTCGGTACTGATAGTTTATCATTTCCTCCTATTTATCTTCCTCCCACCCCCATCCTGATAGCCAGTCAGTGGAGGAGGATGAGGTGTTCGGCATCCTGAGGAGGAGGAGCTCTGTGGGCCTGAGTGCATATCTCCTGGCAGAGGAGGAGCCGGGAACTGGGGAGCCAGGGGCTGGGGTTCCACGCCGCCAGACATTCCGCAGAATCATCTCCATTGAGGAAGACCCCCTGCCTCAGCTCCTGGAAAGTGGCTTTGAGAAGCCACTGAGCAAATGTCCAGAAGAAGAGGAGGTCTTTGACCAGGAGGCAAAAGAACACAACATGGCAGCCCCAGCCTCAGAACTCCTCCCTACATCCCCCCGAGGGCAGCCTGTCGGGAAAGAAGCCCTCTGCAAGGTAAGGTCCAGGCAATGCTACTGAGGTCTGCCCCCTTATCTTTGAGTCCAGGAGCCCCAAAGGACACTCAGGAGGCCAGCTGCAGTGGGTATGGGGATTCACCATATTCTGCGTCCCAAAGGTTGCCTTCCCTTCCTTCCACCTTCTCAGCTGAGCATCATAGAGAGAGACTCATCCATTTCAATAAATTCTCCTTGCTAACTGTTCTGTTCCCTGTATTTCACACTCTCTCTTCTAACTCAGACTTGAAGCGTTATTGAACACCTGCTGGAGTCAGTGCTGCTAAGATCCATTACAAGTGGTCATTTGGTACAGCTCTGTCCAGCGCGCACACTGCCATCTTTCCATTGATCTCAGCCGGCCACGCCTCTTCCATTCCCCAGTGTCCTGTGTACTCTGCCCTCCCTCTCCTCACTCAGATTTCCCTCTGAATTCTGTAAGGAGAGCAGTTCAAGTGACTCCTGTTACCAAATGCTCTCTAGAAGGGTGATGCCTCTTGGCCTTGTGGGAACTATGTCCCTCTGCTGGTTTGTAACTTGACCCTTGATACAGGCCATCCAACTCTTGGCCAGGATCACAATATGTGACCAAGAGGTCTGTAAGAGACAGGCCTGGAGGAGAAGGCTATGCTCCTGTGTGCTGAGTCCTGTCTTCACTGTGGTCTGAAGGATGAGCCTGACAAACGTTGTGCCCACTGCCAGAAGGAGAAGCTGGAGCCCAGAGGGGAGAAGCTGGGGCAGCCGCCTCTCTGCTGGGCTCTTAGCGTAAGGGTGCCCAGCACACATGCCTCTGAAGCTGTGCGTTCTGTAACTGCTCTTCCCTCACAGAGCACCCCAGTACCCCCAAGTCTCCTCACAAGGCTGTGCCGCCATTTTGACGCAACAGGAGAGAGTATAAAGAGGGTCAGTTGTGTGAAAGGCAGACCTCTATGAGGCATGCCACCCTTCTGGAGAGATCCTGGTCATGGGAACCAAGTATCATGACCTTTCAACTGGCACTTCTCCTAGTGAAAAGTCAAGACTGTAAGTACTGTTCAGAACAGAAGAACACCAACAAAATAAGGCAACTATGGGACATAGATTACATTATAATAATTTAGTAGACTATTACATCCCTGCTAAAAGATTCCAAAAAATCTTTACTGACTCAGAGGGATTTGTATTGTTGAATAATTATGATAATTGGGATAAAATTATATATGTATAGATATACTTATTTCTCAAATCCACTTAAATAAAACATTTTCTCATATCTATAAAGGCTGAAAATACATAAAAATGTGAATAGTGACTATCTCAGATTATAAAGAATTTTTACTTTTATTCCTATAACCATATCTTTCCCAAGCTTAAAGATTAAAATCCATCGATTTAAATTTTTAATATTTATTTTATTTGTTAATGTGTGCAGAGGTCAAAGGACAACTTTCGAGAGTCGGTTCTCTTCTTCCACTGAGGGGGTCCCCAGGAGAGAGCTCAGGTTGTCAGCCTTGGGGGCGGTGCCCTTGTCACTGAGCCAGCTCGCCAGCCCAGAACGTATCATTTCCGTTTGGACTTTTTCGTTTTCCGATTTGGGTTCTGGGTGTTACTGTTGCTTCTTTGTCTGTCTGTTTTGTGGTGTTGGGGACAGAAACTCGGGGCCCTGTGATGGGGGGCAAACCCTTTATGTCTTAGATACACCCTGACCCTCGCTGTTTAAGCATGTGGGAGGGAAAGAAAACCGGCAGCGTATGTCCTGATGTCACAACCAGGGCCTCCTTTACCTCGCCTGTCCCTCAACCCATCTGTCTGTCACCTGACAGATGGACTGTCCCCAAGAAAGGAGAGCAGGATGAAGGACTGCCCCACTCTTGTGAGTTAAGCTGCCTGTATCTGGGCCATTATGGCATTATAGGCTGGTGCCTGGAAAGCAGAGTTCTTCCCAGGAAAGGGACAAGGTCGCCATGGGCGGAAGGCCGGGCGACACCGCAGTCACAGCCACAGCCACATCTCTACCACCTCGGATTTCCCATTCCCACCTCTTACCCATGCCTGCTCTGCCACACTTGGCTTAAACAAATGACAGTTGGAGGTACCTGGACAGGAGACAGTGCCCTGTGTATTCAGCGGATAAAGAAAATAGGGCAGAGGACATTGTTTTAATTTTATCTTAAATCCTTGTCGTCGTCGTTGACCTTAAATGTTTTCCTAACTACTGCATTCCCCCCTCCACCCAAGTCTATTGGTGGCTTTGCTCCGAAATCCAGTGCTGCTAATATCCGCTGTGCTTTGCTATAGTATTTGCTCAGCCAGATAAGCTAATTCCCTCAAATCCACTTTTAAATCCACCCAGAGAGCCCCCTCCCCCTCTGCTCGGCAGGGCTGAGCCGAGCTTGAAGGTGAGGCGTGTGATCAGATAGTGCTCTGGAAGGATTGGCTGCCCACACCCTCACACCACCTCCTGCTCAATTTGTGTCCCAGAGAAAGTTCAGCCATCCTGGGGTCACAGTCCCAGGCTGGTGGCAGTCCAGTCCTTCTTTGTTCTCTGGAGCTCCATGAACAGAGCAGTGTGCGGTTGCCTGTGAAGACTTCCCTCCCACTTTCCTGAGGGGAAGGGTGTCCTAGTTTGGATTCTCTGTTGCCAGGAGAAAACAAACCAACACTGACCAAAACCAACTGAAAGGGAAAAAAGAGTTTATCTTACAACTTCCAGGTCACAGTCCATCACTGAGTCACTGAAGGAAGTCAGGACAGGAACTCAAGGCAGGAACTGAAGCAAATACCTCGAAGGAACGCTGCTTCCTGGCTTTCTCTCCATGGCTTGCTTGGTTTACTCTTTTGTACAGCCTAGGACCACCTGTCCAGGGGTGGTACTACCAACAGTGGACTGGGCCCTCCCATATCAATCATCAATCAAGAACGTACCTCTCAGCCTTGCCCACGGGTCAGTCTGATGGAGGCAATTCCTCAATGGCTCCTTTTTCCAGATGATTCTAGCTTGTGTCAAGTTGACAAAAACTAACCACACAAGAGCTATCCATGGCAGATAACTATGTCACAACTGAAGTTGAAGAGAGGAGACAAAGGCCATGTGCAGAGACTCAAGAGGGTCTCCATTCCACCAGAGGCTATATCCTGTTGGTGACTTCTGGGGACACATGAACATTATTATCTATTTATTATAGACAGAGCACCTATGGCAGAGTAAATAAATGATTCCATCCAGTGAGAGAGCTAGTGGACTAATTGGGGTTCCTTACCAGAGCGTGGGTGAATGTAACACAAATCTTAAAAGGTCTTATTGGAAAAAAAAAAAAAACAGAGCCAGATATTGGGGTAAAAACTGAAAGATCAGAGAGAAAGAACAAAAGAACAAGCCAGCCACATTCTTACCTCTACGAAATCCTCAGGAGAGAGAGAGAGGGAGAGAGAGGGAGAGGGAGAGGGAGAG